TTTTTATATATATGTGAAACCCATCTGTGGGTTGAATATGACCTTCTGACTATAGTTTGCAATCCTGGGAGGCACAGTTTCTTTTTCCATAAATATATACATTTATTATATAAAATATGTATTTATTTATTTATTTTATGGGAAAGGCGAAGTAGAATAAAAAATCTGATGATAAGTGAGTTGGTATTTGTCAAGTAATCTCTTTGAAAAATGAGACTCCAGGACTGAGAATAACCTAGTGATTGAAGTACAAAGCCAGGTAAACTTAAGAAATTTACTTACACTTCAATTACCTAACAGTAACCATCAATATGCATATACCATATGTCAGACCCCTAGTGGACAGAACTTGGGGCTATGATTCACAACCTTTCTTCTATTCCAGCATATCTGAGAGAGACATCACACTGTGGTTTCCTAAAGCAGTGATGCTCAGGGCAGAAGGAGAGGGGGTCCCGTAGCAGGTGGTAAGAACTGCTGATTTAGAACATAAGGACAGTATGTTGGCCCAAGCTGTGTTTGCTCTCATGCCAATTGCTTGCCAGATGAACTATTATAAACACATTCCATTTATATGAATGATGTGTAACAGGACAATATACAGAATTCTGTGCTTTAGCTTTTTCAGACTGTCACCTCATGGGCTCTGCCAATGTCCTTGCGCTAGGCTTGAGCAGAAATAGTTTGCTGCTTAGTTTGGACAGGACAGAGATCTACCATTGAATGGTGGGACACAGTGAACTTTTATAAGTTTTAACATTTTAGAGACCAAGCACTCTAAATGCAGGTGGAAAAACTTTTTAAAAATTATTTTATTTGGGGGCCGGCCCATGGCTCATTTGGGAGAGTGTGATGCTGATAACACCAAGGCCATGGGTTTGGATCCCTACATAGGGATGGCCAGTTAGCTCACTTGAGAGAGCATGGGGCTGACAACACCAAGTCAAGAGTTAAGATCCCCTTACCAGTCATCTTTTAGAAAAAAAAAATTTTGTTTTATTTAATCAAATCACTGAAGCACAGAAAAAAGCTATGATTGTATTGATATTAACAAATAAACTATATTAACATAAGAATTATTCTACAAGGGGACGCATTAGGAGTATCATATACTTTATCTGGGTGACCCTCACATCTTTTTATTTTTGTAAGCAACTTGTAAAGCAAGAGTTAAGGAACCAATCAATTTTATGGTTGAGACAAATATGCCTCATCAAGCAGATTCTAGTATGCCCTTGAAATAGGTTTTATGATGCTCCTGTATATTGTGTCAAACACAACTATGGATCAAACACTTAAAACTTATATTCACTAAAACATTATGTAGAGAATAATCCTATTTTTATAAAAATATGCATATATATATATATATATAAACAAAAAAGCTGGCCAGTTAACTCACATGGGAGAGCATGGTGTTGATAACACCAAGGTCAAGGGTTTGGATCCCCTTACTGGCTGGCTGCCAAAAAAAAATTAATAAATAAAAATATGCATGTTTCATATATAAACGTATTATATATTATGTATAATACGTTTATATATGTACACAGGTTCAAAATCC